TTTGAGCTCTGGTGCTGGAGAAGACTCCTGCATTGAGTCCCTTGGACTGCAAGGCCATCCAGCCGGTCAGTCCTAAAGGAGATCCACCCTGGCTGCTCTTTAGAAGTCCAGATCCTGAAGAGGAAACTCAAAAGACTTTGGCCACCTAATGAGAAGGAGGAAGGACTTCCTGAAGAGCCTCATGCTGGGAACGATGGAGGGCAGAAGAAGAAGAAGGGGACGGCAGAGAAGGAGGTGGCTGGATGGAGTCACTGAAGCAGCCGGCGTGAGTTTCAATGGACTCCAGAGGATGGTAGAGGACAGGAAGGCTTGGAGGAACGTTGTCCAGGGGGTCGTGATGAGTCGGGCACAACTTTGCAACTAACAATAAGGAAAAAGCCCCAGAAATGGGGGGACAGCCTTTTGTGTTGGAGGAAGACTCCAACAATTGAGAATGCTAGAGTTGGCCCAATGGGGGCCCCTCTGGGCCCTCATTTGCACCCCTCTTGATTTACCCATATGGTGGGGTATTGCTTCCACGGCCCTTTCTAGGCTTCACCACCCACAGTTTGTTTACTGCAGATGCTAGAGAGCCTGGCCCTTCTAGAGAACAGACTCTATGGTTGCTGGAACTCAATTGGGTTGGTTCACACAACGCTTTAAGCCGGGGGTCTCCAACCTTGGCAACTTTTAAGACTTTTAAGAATTCCTGGAAGTTGAAGTCCACAAGTCTTAAAAGTTGCCAAGGTTGGAGACCCCCGGCTTTAAGCAGATGTTTTTCCACCTCGTAAGATGGCTAGACTTCGCCAAGGTGGCTTTTCAAGAGGCAACCTTCTGCAGAAGCTCCTTGGATGAGAAGTGAAACGTCGTCAAGAAAAAACAAAGTCCAATTTGTCTCTTGGGAAACAAAAATTACCTTTGGGACAACTATGACTTGAAGATTTCCAAACGGGTCAATTTCAGCTCGCCGAAGTCCCTGGTTTCTTCCAAACGAAGGTTTTTGGGGAGCAAAAAACCAGGGAAGCATTGGAATTAGAAAACAAAGAGTTCACAGAACATAAATCGGGCAACATCTGGAGAATGCCTCATTTGACAAAAAGACGAGCTGCCAATTTTTCCTCTTGATTTCTCTCTAAAATCCTTCGCTTCTTTCTGGCGTTAACCAACTTGGAGATGGCTAAATTAACCCGGCATAAAATATCCTCCAGGAACGTAGGTCGCCTGGAAATGAAATGAATTTTCCTGTTCTGAAATAACCCTCCAAGGGAAAGTTTTATTCCCAAGTATAAATAAAGCTCGGCTGATTCAATGTTTAATATTGTTGGCCTTAGCTCAAGTACAGTAACGGCGACGCAGCCATCACAAAAGCTTGGACTGCAAAGCTGGAGGCCAAAGCTGAAATCTTTTTATAGGAAATCTCTTAAAATAACACTTTATTCCCAGCCTAGAAGCCCCTAATGCATTCTGCTAAGGATTACCAGCAAAAGTCTCCACTATAATTACTTCTGTTTCTCGTGGCTTCTTCTCTTCAAAGCAGATGCCATGCAGAAGAAAAAAAAATCCTTTGCTCTAATCCATTAAGGTCACAACTGGAAGCAATAAAAAATACGAATTCCAATTGCAAGAGAGTATAAAAGAATATTCAAGAGAAAAAAAAAGAGAAGCCTCACCATTTTCATTTGCAAAGGAGGGAAGGATTTCTTTCTTTTGTTGTCCTACCGGGATGGCAACTGTTGTGTCGTTAAATTTCGCTTTCTAAATGCTCTTCAAGAGCAGATGAAATTTTGGGGCTGTGGATGCCAAGTTCAAAAGATTCACTTCTTTTTTAAG